TGGGCCACCTTCCCCTTGCTCATGTGTCCTTTCCCATCCCCGACTGGTCACACCCAATCTTGACTCAGTGGAAGATGGCCAAGCCAGCTCTACCAACCTGAGAAGGGGGCAGTAGTGCGAGGTGGCAGGCATGAGCCAATACGCACGGGGAGATGGCTTAAGAGGTGCTGCCTCTGGATCAGAGGCAGCGGCACGGAGCAGCAGCCAGCTCCCTGAGAGCAGGGTGGCAGCTCCACAGTGCATACTGCCTCCTGCCCTGCTGCCCCTGTATCTGCATATGATACAGCGGCAACAGCGTGGGGCAGCAGCCCATGGTCACCAGGAGCCAGCTTAAAAGCCAATTACACGCCTTTTAACATCCCTAGTAGGGAGAGGGGCTTGCACAGACCAGCCAAGTGACGTCCATCACCAGGGGTGTGAGCCAGCGGCCAGAGAACAGTTGTGGTAGTTGATCAGATGGCCTGGGGCTGCCAGCAGTAGGGGACTAGGTCCATCCTGGAGGAGGATGTGGCCCCAGTGCTCTTGGGCTTTTAGACAGCCTCAAGAAAGTTAGGCTACGCGATGGCAGCGAGATTACTCCATCCCCGTACAGTGTCCCTTGGGTTAGGCACTTCCAGGGAAACAGGACTCAGCTGTGGGACCATTTGTGCCTGCGGAGCGCTGGCTTCAGCCTGCCTGCAGGCATCAAGCCCAGCTAGAGCAGGGATGTGTGGTCAGTATGACAACTGTCATTGCCTTCCTACCTACCCAGGTGTTGCCCAACTCTGGGCCCCAGTGCCAGTCATGGACAGAACAGTGCAGCACCTCCTCCCCCACAATGGCTTACCAGGCTCAGGTGGCAGTTCATCCGCAGATGCCTCCTCCTCCTTCACCTGCACGGCCTGCACCTCGCCCAGCGGGGCCTGTGCATCCGGGAGCATGTAGCTCAGCTCCTCAGCCCCCTGGCTCTCTGAGGCAGCAGCCTGGGACCCCCAATGGTCAGAGGCTGAGGCCTGGGACTCCCAGTGTTCAAAGGCAGCAGCAGCCTGGGAATCCCAGGGCTCAAAGGCTGGTGTCCCCCAGCTCTCTGGAGCAGCCATGCCCTCCTGTCGGTCCACAGCACTGGATCCTTCACCACTCTCCGCCAGGAGACTGGAGCGGGTGCTCTCACAGAGTTGCATGATCTGGTCCATCTCATCATAGAAGGGGCAGCGCATGGGCGGCCTCCCAGCTGCATTGTTCTCTTTGGCCTTGCGATACGTCACCTTGAGGCCTTTCATCTTTTCTCGGCACTGGTCCCCCGTGCGGTAGATGCCCAGTTCAGCCAGGCGCTGGGAGATGCTATCATAGACAACCCTGTTTCTGCCGCGCGAGCTCAGGTCGTGTGAGGTGGCCGCCTCCGCCCACAGGGCAATCAGCACCTTGATGTGGTCAGCTGGCCAGCTGGCTGCCCTCTCCTGAGGCTTGTCCCGGCGCATCGCAACAGGTGGGGGCTGGACAAATGGAAGATCCCCAGGGAAAAGCTACAGTGCCCAATACCAAGCTGGTCTGCCGCGAGGAGCCACGTGACACACCCTGACCCAGCCAAGCTATGATCACTGCTTCTCCTCCAGGCGTCACCACTTGCACAGGCTCACCCCAAGGTTCTCACATGCCATGTGTAGGGGACACCAGACATAGGACTTCTCTGACACAGGACTGGCAACTGGAGTTCCAGAGCTACAGAGAAACAACTGCCCAAAAAAAACTGCAGTGGGGACCAACACTGCAGAGATGGTCAGAGCAAGGAGCATCCTGTATGGAGAAAGAAACGCGATCAGTGTAGCTGCAGCCCCCGCCAGCCCCCACTCACCAGCAGCCAGGCCAGTTCCCTCAGTTGCAAGTGCAACCATGTTGGCCCCAGTGGATCAGTCAGGTCATGTGGGGGGGTGGGAAGGAGGAAAATAGCTCCTATTGGGCCAAGTACTGCAATGCAAGAAACCAAGCTTGGTGGGTGGAGGAGCTTAGTTACAGTGCCCAGCTCCCTGCCCCTAAGCCAACTCCCCCCTGCCACCAACCTGTAACCCAGCTCCTCGCCCCCCCAACATAGATCCACGCTCCCACCCTTGGAAGTCAGCTCGTTGCCCCTAAGCAGAGACAGATCCATTCCCGCCGTAACCTGGCTCCCTGCACAGATAGGTCCATTCCCTCTGTAACCCAGCTCCCTACCCCCACCACAAATCCAACCCCTATTACAGGGCAGTTAAATTGCATTTAACTGCTAATCTTGTAGTCTACTTGATTAGTCAATAATGGGGGTAAACTGCAAAACCGCAATGGGAATAGCTTCTGGCCCCGGAAGCTAACACTACTGCAGCTTTACCTTTAAAATGGCAACTCTTAATACATTTAAATGCTGGGGGAAGGGGAACTGGGTACAAGCCAGGAATCAGCTGTCCTGGCCCAGGTCCCAGATGTTGCACCTCTGCTTCTTAAATTTATTAAGAGCCAAGCCTCCTGCTACACCTCTGCCTCCCCTGTGCCCTCTGGATCAGAGGCAGTAGCACATGGCAGCAGCCAGCTCCCTGAGAGCAGGGTGGCAGGTAGGAGCTGGTTTTTAAGCTGGCTCCTGCTCCCCCTGCCTTGCTGCCTCTCTCCCTTAGAGACAGCAAGTGGGGGGCTGACTAACCGAGCGGGAAGCGGGAGGAGGGGGCGCGCGAGCAGAGGAAAAGGGCGGGGCTCCGAGCGGCCCGGAAGCGGGAGAAGGGGGCGCGGGGGCAGAGGGGAAGGGCGGGG